CAGCCCCTTCTGGAGGCTCTGGGTACTGCGCCTGCCACTGCAGAGAGAGAGGGGGGCCCAGCGGCGACAACGCGCGCCGCAGCCCCTTCTGCAGTCTCTGGATGACAGGCTCTGGGAGTGTGAGTGAGTGAGTGAGTGAGGGGAGTGAGTGAGTGAGTGAGTGAGTGAGTGAGTGGTGAGATCTTGTGTTGTGTCAGTGAGTGAGTGAGTGATGTGAAGAATGAGTGAGTGAGTGAGTGAGAGTGAGTGAGCGACGGAGGAGGGGGCGAGGAGGACGGAAGGACCGGCGGATGCGGGCGGGATGCCAGCCAACAAAACTAGAACCCCACACAGAGATGTGGGGAACTATATATGTGCTTTCCTAGTAATAACAAAGAAGCTACTAGGAACAAGTGCATCGCTTCTAGGAACAAGTGCCTTACTAGTAGTAACAAAGAAGCTAAGTGCTTCCAGGACTTGGTTAGGAACATGTTCCGCCAAGAACCTCACTTACCGAACCTTCACCCAACCCGGTTGACAGTTGAGGACGTTCATCCTTTGAGGACTCCTTTGAGGCCGGACCTGAGACTATGACATACCATGACACTTACCATGACACTTAAGTAGGCTGTACCAAGAAACACGGGCTAGTCGGCTCGTCACGTCTAGGCCCAATATCGAGCTCCCTCATGTTCGCTCAGCTGACCGACCCTGAACGGAGGGATCTATGATGATCTATGTTTTGGGGCTCAAGAGGGTGTCAATCCCCTCCCCTCCCCTCTCTCTTCTGCAAAGCAACGCAAGTTGCAAGTCTGAACATGTCCAACGTTAAACCCATGAGGTTCGGTCCACGCTGCACCTCAGGGTAGCCGCGCACCTCCATAATCTTTTGCTTGCCTGGGCGGACGATCTCCGGCGAAGCAGGTCAACCCCTATGACTACACTAAACAAGCTGCCTAGTGAGGGAATCTATTGCTGCTTCAGAGTGGGTGGCACAACCCCAAAATGTCTTCTATATGGGGGCCCATATACACATACACCACCTCTTGGGCATTGTACCATCTATATACTCTGAATCCACTGTGCAGAATCTCGTTTTAGTTCAGGGCCTTGGAACCACCCAGTGACTAAAAGGAGTGGGTCTTTGTCCAGTCAGGTGAATCCGTTTCGCTTCTCGGCCGCATGACGAGCGAGAGCCGCATGGCCGACCATCATTGTCCAAAACACAGCAAGACCTGGGAAGTTTGGGGGGAGACTGTTTGGGGCAATGTGATGTTCCACATGTACAAGAAGACCCGCAGGTGCTGGACGTCACTGCTTCTTGCTTCTTGACAGCTTGTTGAATGATTTGGATGCTTAACTCCCAGAAGTTACAACCTCTGAGGTTGTGGCGCGTACCCTCTGTGAACGCCCTGAACCACCTCCCAACGATACTTGCGCATCCATGTCTGCAATAAACAAGCCCGTGGCGCTGGCCAGGACAAAGTCGCCACTCCCCGCCCAATAAAAGGGCCTGGCCACAGGCAAGTTCTGCATCATGTGCCGATATACATGCACCTAGATCTTCCAAATTGAAGGCTCCTTGTGTGCTCTCCTGTCCTACCTGTGATTCGATGCACCATCCTATGGCCGTGGCCGGCCTTTGTGGCGCATCCGGCACGAAGCGCCCCTCAGTGCACACCAAAGCATCTTCCTGAGACATCGCACCGTGGACGCTCCGAAATGGCACGTTTCGCAGCGAAGACCATCGATGTCGCGGTGAGGCGAACGATGTCCAACGCACACGAAAAAGGCACGGGTTTCGGGATGTCGGAGGCTCCAAACCTGGAGCCGCGGGGCCTAAAGGAACACACGAAACATCGGATGCAAATCACGGCTCTGAAACCGTCCGTTCTGAATGCTGCACCCCGACTCTCTGCTCTTCCGCTCAGCAACGGGATATTTCAAGCGGAGGTCGGCCATCTCCATATTCATCCCAGAGATCATCTCCTCTCTTGAGAAGAGCCACTCGACGAGCTCATCCGCCTTCAAACCTGCATGATTCTTTTTCAACAAAACTCGCTGGAAATTTATGAGCTCCCCCACCTTCCGCTTCTGGACAGGTCACATCGTATTCCATGTACCTGAGTCCAAACTCCACTGCCCACCCCGTCGAGTAGCTCAAGAATGGATCGATTCAGGTTTTCAGATCGTATCAACCTCTTGGACGGGATCTTCCTCTACAGTGCTGAGCTAAGGATCGTCCGTTGCTTTCATTGCTTTCAGCTCTCATGAGATCTTAAGACTTTTCATCAGAAACCCTCTGCCCCAACGGGCCGCTCGGGCCATCTCAGGCCGCTGGGGGCTCTGCGCTCTGCTCTCCCAAGCTGCGTTGCTCGGTAGACCACGTTCGGATCCAGCTGCTGCCGAGCAATAAAGAGTATCTCGGCCATCGCTCCAAAGAAGGCGCGCTTGGTGACTTTAGAAAAGCTGTCTCTCATAGTTTCAACAGTTTTGGCACCTTCCCAGCATTGAACCCAGAGAAGAAATAAACATCGAATAAAAATCAAAGTGACACTTCAACTTCATGAACGCCCCCCCTGCCACTCCCCCTGCCCTGTTCCAACCATACCCGAAAACTGTGTGGGTCCGGAAGGTCGAGCAGCCCAATTCAAAGGGTTGGGCTTGTCGGCAATGGCAAGTGTTTAAAACATTTTGGCCGTATCATTCAGGTCCTCCTAGTCTAAGACGCACCATGATGCACCCATTTTGCCGTTGAACTTGGGCCAGTCATCCTCCAAACAAGTCGCATTTCTCCAAAGCTTGTTCAAACACACGGTGGGAAACCATTGTGAAGTGATCAACAACATCAAAGTTGCCAAAGAGCCAATATCTCAAGGACGTGATTCCCCATATGGGTCGTAGTGGTTTTGATGATTTTCAATGGTCAATTTGGAGTGGTCGTCGTGTTTTGGAGCGTGCCGCGGTTTCGGAAGATTCTCACTTGAGGCCGAGGGTAGGGGACGAAAGCTAGCAGGGATGCATCCGTGTCAGTGGAGGCGAAGCATACAGCGCCGTCCAGTGACAAAGGACTGGTGGGACATCAAGCGGAGTGAGGCAAATCTTTTTTCATAGGCATGGGGCTGTTGGAGGGATGGTTCACAAGGTCTCGCTCATGAGGTAAAACGTTGTGAACATGTAAGACACACGAACAGCAATGACACAGCCAACCTTAGCTTGTGAATCTGTTGAATCTGTTGCATCGTATCCCAAAACCTCCACGGAGGAGTTGAACCAAAGTGGATGCCATAAGAGGTGTCCAAGAGGTGTCCCAGAGGCGTCCCAGGGGGGAGTTGAACCCGCGGGGGGGGGGCCCTCTACATATGAAGTTTTCACGTGATGCGGCGATCTCGAGGATTCCAGCCCCTCACTTGCTAAAGCAAGGACAACTCCAGCTAGCTGGTGCTAGCTTTCGTGAACTCGAGGCAAATCGGATTTCAAAGGTTGGGTTTAAACCTTTAATGTTAGCCAAGCGTGTCGGTCAGAGCCTCTCCCGTTGCTTGTGCACAGGGGCCTCCATTGTCAGCGGTCTGGGGCGGTGAAGCCCTTCCAAAAGCTGCAGTTCAAAGCGGGCCAGTGGAACATGATAGCAAACAGACTAGCAAACAGTTCAAGATTGTTTTGTGTGGCATTGGTGAGCGTTCCGTGGCTCCAGACATCAAAGCCAGCGTTCCTGACTATAGTCACTAGTCTTGAGCGAAGTCGCAATCAATGTCACTGCTGACAAGCAGATCTTGGTCAACGCATCTGACAGTCCCTGGACGAACATAACACCCTCAACAGGATTTCTGGCCAGTGATGCCAAGGTTTGCAAGCATGGCATGATACTCTTTTCGAACTTTTCACCTCAGTCCTTCCACAGGACAGTTTCGGCAGCCCGGCCGTGTAAATGCACCCTGCGGCCCAGTGAGAGGGACATTCAAACATGATCAACAATCTATAAACATGCTTCGTACCTTGGAATTGAGTTTTCTGAGCAGGTGGGAAACCCAAACATGCGTGCAGCAATGTTTTGAATAAACAACGGGGTGAGGATCTACATTCTGATCTCACGGCAACACCTGCGCCATGACATTTCAACACATTTGCTTACACAGCATTTTGCACTCAGTACAGCGGCAAGCCATGCGTCCAAACCTTTGCATCGTTGGTCAGAAATCTGGAACCACATCTCCACGCCAGTCATCCTATAAGTAAGCTCGTTCCAAGGCTGTGCCTCGTGATCTGCTCTTCAGCTCACGGCCTGTCATCTCTGGCGTGACTTCAAGAGGCAAACGTAGGCCACTGGACGGCAGCGCTGCAATCTGGGTGCTGCGATGTAACTTTCTTTCCCAAAAAAATTGAGCTTATAAACGTATAATTGTTGTGATTTCACGCTTGCATGCTAGCTGGCTTTCCAAGCGTTGTGCTCATTGCTGTGGTTGGTTCAACTCCATCTTCCTTCGGTTGAATGGTTTGCATCCGCTCTTTCAATCACTGCGTGCGGTAACTTGCCCTAGCCGCCCTAGCCCCTGTCATTCGTCCGGCTAAGTCTTCTTCCTCATTTTTCCTTCATAGATCTTCAACGGTATCAGTAGCCTCAAACATGGTAGGAAGGGTTGCCGCCGCTCTCCCCCGGCAAAAACCCGTGTGGGGACTGTGGCATTGATGCCCCCCCCATGAGGCAAAGCACACATCATACTGCCAGGCGACCGTATCTGGGCTTAGGATGTTGTCAATGTTGGTCTTCAAAATGAACTTCCCTCTAGCCCTTCGGAATGCCACGTTCTCCGCCGTGTGCTCGAAAATGGGATGGGCCTGATGTGTCTCAGTGGGCGTTCTCAGACCAGCTCCAACATCTTCCACTTATATAATCCAAATGGGTCATCGGTTGCTGTCGCTTTCAACGACTCCAGCAACCGATGACTCAGTCCAAACGTTTGGATGACTGATTCTGGTTGGTGGGCTCACCTCACTTGCAAAATACTTTATATAGTCCGTGTGGGTTCAATCATCCCAAGTAAAGGTCGAACATAAAAATATCCGAGAACGCCACCTAGCATTGGGATGTGCAGCTGTGTGCGTTGGTCTGGCGGGTCTCATGTGATCTACACATCCACCCTGGCCTTGTGATGCGGCATGGACATGTGCACGGAGGTCGGCACTTGAATCACACGGATGGGCACGCTCTCCGCGCCAGCTTCCCGCTGAATCTCCTGAAGCGAGAGAACAATGAAACATGTCTGACAACATAGCCGCTGCTCTTCTTGAAGATGTGAACGGGTCCAGCCAAGTCATCTTCTGTTCACCCCTGGAAGTGGCTTCTGGTCCTGATTTGGAGAGCTGCCTTTGCATGAGCTGAGGTGATTCGCAAATTCATGAGTGCAAAATGAGCTTGGGCAAACGTCTGCAATACACGCTACACGTGCGTAGCCAAGTTGTGGCTCTTGCAAGCGCCGGCCTCGTGAATCGCCGCAGCGTTGAAGACCGGATTCCATTCCTCAAATCCGAGAAAGAAAAAAAACGAGCAACAGCCAGCTGGTGAGTAGGAAGGAACGGTGTCATGGTTTGATCGGCCAAGATGAACCATCGGCGTCAGAGGCCGGCCGTGATTGGCGTCAGAGGCCGGCGTCAGACGTGATATCATATGTCTATATCATGCAACATGTTCCAGGCTCGGTGATCTTCCCTCAAACATGCCAAAACATCGGCAGGTGTGGTGATGGGTCAAAAAGGATGCTGACTTTACAGGTACTTCAAGGTGAATGTGCACCTCAGGGTTGAAAGAATTCACAAATGCTGTGTCAAACCTTAAAGTGAAGGGACCTCCAAACCTTCTGGAATTAACATCAATGAATAAACGCTACACATATATAATCATATGTAGTATTACTGTTTACCTTTAAAAAAATATATATACATATATATAGAGAGAGAGAGCGCTAGATGGAGAGTACTCGAAGTGAAGCAATTTGTTGGATATGCGGCTGCCACCTCACTTTGACCCTGGGATTGAAAGCGCATCACAAGATGTGATGAACAATTGAACAACCGGCAAACAGGTCCAAACTAGCTTCCAACTGTGTCCACCTCGCCCCGCTCCCAGGTCCCGCTTCACCTGCCTCTGAGCATCGACGACAATGATCTCAGACGGGACCTGGGTGGTGTGCAACATCCGCGTCGTGGTCGCCAGCATGCGGTTTAACCGCAACAACATGTTTCCACCATAGTCGTCATTCCGGCACTGCACGATCACCGTCAAGTAGAGCAAGTCCTGGAATACATGCAGGGCAGGAGAGTAGTTCAAAACATGGCGGAGTGAGAAGCCCAAAGCCACACACAGATACACACAACGCGGTGGCGATTAATTAAGGTCTCAGCGCTCTTTTCAGTCCTGCTAAAGGACAGTTAATCTATGAACCCTTAGAGTGGGTCTTGATTAGAGAAAACATGATAAAAACAATGTGCTGTAAAACTTTCCAGCAGATCCATTCTTTCTCTACATGTTGCAGGTGTGCATGCAGCCGGCCCACCCCAGCCTCTGTCTCTTGTTGGGGAGTATCCAGCGCAGCATTCTGGGGAGCACGGAACTCATGGCCGGCATCGAGCTCCTTCTGAATACTTCTCCTGAGCGTGGTTGGCTCCTGTCTTAGCTGGGAAAATTGCGAAGCTTGGCTCCTAGAACTAGAAGTAAAAGACATGTTAACCTATGTCAAAACACTCGCCTATGATTTGCAATGATTTCTTAAGACTCTTAGCCAAGACATGTTAAGAACCCTTTCAAGAAATACGGAGGTTGGCTCTCTTGGGGCGGCCTTATCTGGAACATCCGGAACAAGGGGCCCGGTGTTTTTCTCGCGGCCCGTTTGATGAACATATGCAAAACCGCCCAACGACTGGCCCGGATTCATGCGGAAGAATAATGGACATATACCTCATCGTTTCGTCTGAACACAACCAAAGAACCCTGAGTCTGGAGTGCTTCCATGTTTCTGCACAGCAATGCCAAGTAAACCAAGTAGCACTCAACATACCTGAACGATCTTAAACAGCTGTCCCTGGCCTCAATGGATCATTCCACACCTGACCCCACCCGCCCCAACCACTTCCACTTGAACCCAACCCACTTCCCAGCTCCCAACCCACTTGTCGAGTCTCATCAGTCTCCAAATTGGCCAGCGGCTCCTGCGGCGGTCAACCGAGACGCTGGCCTAACTTGCCACCGCTGGGCACCCCGTTAAGGACGGACCAGCCAAGGACCCCCGTGGTCCACATGTCACCTGCTGTTGCCCGATGTCATTGGAATTGTACATGCGTCCTTGTCTGATTGACGGCCAGCTACTGCCTTGCCTTTAACTAGGCACTCCCCATGGGCATTGTCCAGGCCACTGAAACTAGAAGAGGCACAGTATCTACTTCAGATGTCAAGCACACCACTTGCTACACCCTGGTCAAGGTTGTTGGCACTAGTCTCACATGGTAGTTTATACTGGATTGGTTTTTGCACAATGACGGTTGCTTCAGCAATTTCATCACATCAAATCGTATCCTATCTAGCCGCACAACTACAGAACAGTGAGATCACGATCACATACACTGCAATTTGAGCAACTCAAACGATGGCAAAAAGCTCAATGTGGACTGACTTCGGGATGGTCAAGCTCGCCTTTTCGAAGCACAATTCTCAACGGCATCACCTTCCTCGATTTGTGTCAGTGACTCTGGGATGACCAAGCCCACTAGCGAGATGCTATTGTCAAAGGCACCTTCCTCAATTTGAGTCACTGAATTTGGGATGGTCAAACTCACCAAAGAGCAGCAATTTCAAAGCACTTGAAATAGAGAACTGCGATTCCAGAAGGCATAAGATCCAAGGTGGGTCACCGAGTCTGGGATGGTCAATTTCGCCAAGATCTGCAATTCTTAAAGGCGTTGTCACCAATATATATAGGTCACAGAATTTGGGATGGCCCACTTCACTAAATTGATGCAACCTGCGAAGGCAGAATTTTGAATGTGAGTCACTGAGTTCGGGATGGTCAAGTTCGCCAAAGCGCTGCAATTCTTAAAGGCACCTCTTCCAATGTGGGTGACCGAGTCTGGGATGGTCAAGCTTACCAAAGCGCTGCAATTCTTAAAAGCACCATTCCCAATGTGGGTCACAGAGTTCGGAATGTTCAAATTCTCTAAAGAGGTGCAGTCTTGAAAGGCAAAAGAGCCAATGTGGTTCACAGAGTCCGGAATATTCAAGGTCGCTAAAGAGCTGCAATTGACGAAAGCATCATGCCCAATGTGGGTCACTGAATTCGGGATGGTCAAGTTGGCCAAGGAGATGCAATTCTGAAAGGCAAAATTGCCAATGTGGGTAACGGAGTCTGGGATTCCGGGATGATCAAGCTCGTCAAAGATCTGCAACCATCAAAGGCATGATCTCCAATGTGGCTCACTGAATCTGGCATGGACAAGTTCCCCAAAGAGCTGCAACCAGCAAAGGCATCATTCCCAATGTGGGTGGCAAAACTTCGGTATGGTCAAGTTCACCAACGAGCTGCAAGCATCAAAGGCACAATCTCCAATGTGGGTCACTGAATCTGGGATGGTCAACTTGGCCAATGTGCGGCACCCCGCAAATGCCGAAGCATGAATTTGTGCTTCATCGTTTGGAATTACGAAGGCAAGCAAAAGATCAGAGTCAACGATGCCACCAAGACTGGTGATTACATCTTGGTTGCCGCATATCACTACATTAGGATTGAAAACAACACTCACAACAGAATCTCCAGTTATTCCAGCATCCAATACATTTGCATCATTGGCTAGCAACTGGTTGTCTCCGACAATGATCTCCACAGCTGTAGTGCTCCGAGTGAGCTCGTCCCAAGGTTTTTTCTCCTTGATCTGCTGCTTAAGCTCGAAGCCTGTTATCCCTGGCATGACTTCAAGAACCAAAATGTCACCATTTGGCTGGAGCGCTGAAACTTTGACTGCCATGGCTTGAAGACAAAGGGGTTGAATTAGTTTTAGCTGATTACAGTACTTGTTGGCATTGAAGAGCAGTCCACGATCATGGACACATGACACATGATTCCGAGACCTATCATTGAAGCGACTTCAGAAACATTGAAAACACCATCGACACCCCTCACATATGATCTACGAAAATCTCTGATCTTTTCGGAGTGGCGTGAGAATTTGAGCTTTGGAGCTTGAAATGCGGTGCTATGTATCACACCACCTGGTGGAACACCTTCAACACCCTCGCAAGTTGAAGACTTCTATGTGGGATTATGTGGGATAGCCTAATATGGTGTGGGGGTGTCAGGCGTTGAGTCTCCATGCCACAACCGAAAATGAACGAATATCTTTGACTTTTCGTGAGAGCTCACTATACTATACTACATCGAACGTCAATTGATTCGGACATTTCAGTGGTCATGTGGGGGTTCAGGTCACCATGAGATGGAAGATCCTGCCCAAACCTCCAGAAATCCGACCCACTGTGTGAACACCACCCAAGCTCCTCGACCTCCCAGCTCCGAACGGTTCGGACGACAACGAACACCGTGCACATCCGTGCACCAAATCATGGCGATTTGATGCGATTTTCAGAGTAGATGGCACAGACCCCAAGATGTCCTAGACAGATGGGCGTCCATCTAAACCACCGACATTGGGCCAGTGGGCCAGCTATGGCCAGCTACTCTGAAACCACTCACCAGGCTGTGGACATCGGCTCCTGAACAAATCCCGGCGATGCCGATCAATCTGCCCCGGCGGTGCTTCCTCCACATGCTGACGCACCAGGCTCTGCCTAGGTCTGTGCGATGCCGGTCTGCGCGGCGGACACCAAGCTCTGATCTGCAAGCTGCACATTGACAAGGCGTCGGCATCGCAAATGGGAGAGTTCCCCACATGTCTTAAGGATCGATAAGGGTCCGACTCCAGGTGGAAGCCGTTCAACATCTTCACACTCACACACACCCCTGACTCAAAAGCGGCCGAAGATGCGCGAAGAGCAGTGCGCGCTCGAGGCGCATCTGGTGCTCACCGCCCTCCGCCGCGGAGGCAAAGGCGGTGATGTCGGCAGCGACCAAAAACCTGGAGTAGCACATCGGCTGGACGGCAGGACCTTGTTTTCGGGGAGGTGCCGCACCCACTCCCCTGCACAATTGAGCAGGCTGTGGGAAGCCATCAAGTAAAAAGGATTGGGATCCTAGTTGCGAACACAATCTGGGACATTCTGTGAGTGCGAGTGGTGTGTTGAGGTTGCTAGCGCAACACGGCCCTTCCCTCCAATTGTACAGTTGGATGGGCAGCATCGTCCCTTCATCCCCCGCACAAATTGGTGAAAAGTGGAAACTCCTGGCGCATTTGTCACAGTACAGCTGGATGCGGAACTCCGATACATATTCATATATATATATATATAAAACAACCATATATTTACTTCAGGCTGGGTAGGCATGCTTGATTCAGTATTGGTTCCAAAGGGTCTTGAAAGCTGTCCATCCAGGGTATCAGGGAGGACTTCGGTTCTTTTGATGTTGAGGTTGCTGATGTTTTGACCATTAGTTTTACCATTGTATACTGCAATATCTCTCGTTGAAACCACTTGATCACTTGACCCTCAATTTTTGCCCCAGATATCCATGGGCAGTTTGGATAGCATCGCAACCCGGTCCTCGGAGGTCTGCGAGGTCTGCGGCCACAGGGAAGAAGGTTTGGTTTTTCTCCTTCAGGATCTTAGACAGCGAGAATTCTTGGAACTGCTGAACTGGGAAGGAATCACCCATGAATCTTGAATCTTCACTTTTGGGCCGTGAATGACTATAGGGTCCAAAACTACATGCGCATGGGGGTTGGAGCCACACACACACACACACACAAGTCTTGACATGTCGTCACATTTGGCCAGCAACCGCAGTGCCAGGCAAAGAATGGAACATTCAAGGACAAATGCACTTAAAACAATACACTACACTGAATCTGTGTTTTTCTTTGTTGTGTCTTCTAGGCTCTTCATGAATTACACTGCGACATGAATCAAGGCCCCCCCCGCCCCCCCGCGATAAAAAAGAGTAGCCAGGACGCAGCGTGGCCACGCCCACCAGGCAGAGCGGTTGTTGGGTGATCTTGCGCCCGAAGAAATCCGCCCACTTGAACTCCTGAGCCGCTGAGCGATTGTTGCAAGGTTGGTGTGGCTGGGTTTGGGCGAACCTGCGGGTGGATGCTTGGAATGGTGGCCTGCTAGAGATGGGAAAACTTCAAACAACACATGCCCGAAGTCGTGAGTGGATTGGAACACCTGGAATTGGAACACCTGGAAGGAAGTCACTTGAAGGAACTATGCCTATACCATGTATACTGTAGTTACGCACTCTTGCTGTGAGGATCCTTGTGCAGATCGGCTGCAGGCAGTGGATTGGCGGATCGGCTTCGATTCCGGCGGACTCTTTCCATCCGCATCGCGGTCCGGACGAGGCACATGGTGCGGAAGCGCCGCACGGTCCGGGGCGTCGTGCAAACGTTCCAAGAGCAACTGGGGGATGTGGAGAAACCTGTCGAACCATGGGATCATGAGATCCCAGTTTCACGACCTCCGTTTTTGACCATGTCGTCACCTGCGAACCGCTGGACGGAGCAGCACCAGCTTGGCTGACAGCATGTTCCAAAGGACGATTCGCATAACCTACCCTCTCTCAAACAATTGCTGATCGAATCAGAATCCCTCTGTAATGTAGACTCTTGACTACTCAAACCTCCCCATTTGGATTGTAACACCTCTTTATCTGGGTGGTTGTAATTCATCAAAAGTCTCTTTCAAACTCTTCGTCCAAGCTAAGGCCCCCCCCGCCGGCATGGTTGGTGGAACGCGGCCGAGCATCGTTCTGCTCCAAGGGCAGCGTCTCAATGCCCTGGAGGGATCGTTCCAGGCGCTCCAGGAACACATCGTCCACGTCGTAGGAGGCGGCATCGCAGGGAGACGACTCGATCTGCGAGACGAGGGGATGAGATGGGATGAGTGGATGGGATGTGCCAAGTGGCACAAATGAGCGGAGAGTCCTCCAGGTTGGTACGGTTTTTTGTTCAAGTCTTGTGCCAATTATAAATTACCGTATAAGTCTACATAAGCCCACATGGCTTCGGATGGTTGTGATCCACACTGAATAAGATTTAAGGTGTGAGCTGTCAAATGTCATGTTCACCACCCGTTGCAGCTGTCCCCCAACTGAAGTTCCTTAGGGCACTCCCATGAAATGCTGCCAACAGATGGGTCCCCCAAAAAAAACGGGTTAGGGTTCCACAGGTTGTAGTCATTTGCCTTCAATCCTTCACCAGTGCAGTTTTGTTATTGAATTCTCCGGAGCCATCCCTCAAGGCAATGCCTACAGCTGGAGATTGAACAGCTGAACAATATCCGATGGCAGACCGGCACAGACCCCCCAAAACATCTGGCCGCACCTGGTTTTGTGGGGAATCACGGTTTCGGTTCAAACCATCGTGCGTGTGTGAGATGCGTGACTGGCTGCGTGCTTACAGGTGACAAATCAAGAACAGCACAACGGAGCATCGCAGCGTGAAGCAGCAAGAAGCTACTAGGTGGAGGCCATCGCTATAGTATACTATAGTTGTATTTTTCATGATGTATTCGTGGTTTCCGTCGCTTACATCTCCAACCAGATGCCCCATGGCCCCCAGCGGTCCAAAACATCCGTCTCTTTGCTCTTTGGTGGGCCCCAGCTGAACAGCAACAGCTTCGCGTGAAGCAACGCTCCCGTCTGCGTCCCCACCTGCGGCGTGACGGCCGAAAGCTCTGCCAGGATGCCTCGACCCAAGTCCTCGAAGTCTCGCGGAGGCGGTGAAGAATGGACTGGAGGGGAGGGGTTCCAGCACAGCACCAGAGCAGTGTTCATGACGGATTGGTTGTTCCCATGGCAGGGAGGCCAATTTGGCCGATGAGTCTGGCAACGTTGCGATAGACCCACCTGAGACCACCTATTGGTGGCTCTTCGAAAACCAAGCCGACGTGCCCAGCTTTGCCGAGTGGCACTGTCCAGTAAGCTGCTCCAATGAATCTGCAGAAGCCAATCTGCCAGTGCCACTTCATTCGCTGCGGCGCTCTGATGCCCTCAATGGAATCACACGTTCAGTGCCTTTTATCAGCCTTTTATCGAATCCATGCGCATTTATATATCTCCCAGAGATTTCCAGAATCACATCAAGGCGTCTCTATATATATGGCTTAAGGATGCTTAAGGCCATAATCCGACGGCTTTTCCTCCTGCAGCCAAGATCTATGAAGGCTTTCCGCTCGCCGCTCCTCCGTCCTCGCCGCTTCCTTCGACCGAGCGGCGCACGTGGGCCGCTTCGTCGTGGATCTGCGTCAGGCTGGATCCCGGCATCACGAGGCCTGGCGTCTATCGGTGCACGGATGGATGGACCTACCGACCAGGCCACCGTGGAAAGTGAAGGCACGTGGATGAATAACGTGGATGAATTGAGATCTTGGTTACTTATGATTGGACTGCTGAGGTCTGATTGGAGTTGTGGTGATTGTGGTGGGAAGATGTGGAAAGCAATCGGGACAAGTCCAGAGTGCAGACCTGAACTGGTGGCCTATCGGGCGCCTATCCAAGAGTGGGCTAGGCTGTAGACGCCATGCTTGAAAGATCAGGAAAGAAACCAATTCATACACACGACTCAAATCGACAAATCCATCAAGCCGACGCTGTCGCTGTTGCTCCAGGAAGGCATCAATCTCCTGCCAAGTCGTTTCGGAGGATGGGGCAGTCGGGGGACACTCAAACTGCAGACACTGAAAACGTACAACGGTAAAATGCACGTTGAAAAAAGAAAACAGATCACAAGACGATACAAGACGTGTTAATATGAGAAGTGACCCCGACATTTAATCATATGAGTTCTTGAAGATGCAGTCGGATACGCTTTCGATGTATATAATATGTCTTTGCTTTGATGCTGGCGGTGTCGTGCATCCAATCGTTGGCCTTGCATTCTTCCAGACAGACATACAGGGACCAAAGAATGGGACAGAATTCAACCCTGAAACCCATCCACTTATGGTCAACCGAGGGCGATACGGTAGTGGCTTTGATTTAGGGCTTCAACAAAATAAACCGAGTCCTTGTCGACCAAATTGCGGAAGCTGTAGAATATGTAAGGTGTGGGTATCCAGGGGTCCTCCTTCATACAATTCTACACCTTTGCTCACGATGGACAAGCAGCTTCTTGGTTCAGTTTAATGATCATTGATTGACCTAGATAAAGGCATGAGGGAACCTGGAACATCCACAATCATCATCATCTCTCATGAAACATCACGAAACCAACTTCCCTTTGGACACGAAAAGATTGTCTCTTTGCAGAGGCCCCCATCTCCCTCAAATCATCCCACACCGCACCTGGGACTCGGAGGCCACGAAGTCCATGAGGGGGAAGACCTGCTGACCACCACCCATGTCGAAGAGCCATTCCAAGGTCTGAGAACCTCGGCGCCGGCCCTCTTCAGAGGGCCAGTTTGGAGTTTGGCCCCTTCCAAGCAGCAAACTAGCCCGCCCCCTTGTTCTCAACGTCCGAGGGAGAAAACAAAAAAAACAATGTAAAAACCATGGAGTAAGCCGCAGGATCGACAGCCCTGGGCTGTCGAGAAGAGCAGCTCAATAGCTCAGCAGTCTCAGGCCATGGAGCTTCTCAAAAAGAATTTGGATGGCTGAATGCCTGACTTCCTTTTGGGAGCCTGGAATTGTAGCTCCTTCACGTAATGGAGACTGGAATCCATTACGCTAGAGACTTACGTTCCGAATTCCGTCGAGCTGCGTTTCTCTGAATTTGTGTCCCCCACACCTTCCCCCAATTCCGCCGCACCCGCCGCCTCGAGCAAGATTCGGAAGGATCCAGGGCAGCAAAAGACAAGACCGTACCATGGCTCGCCGGTTTGGTCGGGTTCCTTTCGTGGAAGGTTGTATCATAGTCGGTGTGTGTGTTGGATAAAATAAAGAGTCCTGCCTAGACAAAGGAGATCAAAGGAGTAATGATTAATCGATTCATTTTTGTTGTCCGTCCTGTTGGGGGAGTCTTTGGGGGGCTCTCATGGTTCACACTGCTCTGTGGGGATTGCCCCTGGGACGACGAGTGAGAATTCTTCGCTAGAGTCTCCAGAGAATTTGCATTTCCGGTTCTTCGTGCCAAAAACATGTGACCATGAAATAATGGTCGTGACCGAACTTATGCGCTGATGGGGACCAGTGATGCATTCACAAACGATATGAAAATAGCGCTCCCTTGCCGTTCTCGTCGAATCATGAGCATGTACCTCCAATTGTTCCGGAATCTGGCCTTCCACATCCCAAGTCCCATGATTCGCGATGGCTGAGCCAGGTCATTTTGGACACCATCCACGGCTCATGAATACTGTATACAGTAGTCGTATAGTTTTGAAGCAACCTTGCACCACTCTCATGCTGCACTTTGTCGAGGTCCAAATGTTGTTCCTTCACACTGGCGCGGGAGTTCTTCGTCCACCGAATATTGATGAATATTATATATATATATATGTGTGTGTGTGTGCGCAGTGTGTAGGTGTGATTCATGCGGCATCCACTTGTTTGAGCTCAACGCTGCAGACTTGTGTATATATATATACAGTGTATACAGTAATCTAGTGAACGCATGCGCTCGCGGTGGTCAGTGCACAGTTCCGGGGACAAAAAGTGTTCAAAACATTTCCTCTGTAAGCCCCCACCATCCTTCAAACATGGGATGCAAGTCGCCTTCTGAACCCTCGCCCGAAACCACAAGCACAAAACGGCACAATGTTAAACAAACCACCGATTGAACTAAAACCGTCCAGTCCCGCGTCATGCAGGGCTTATGGAACGAAGTAGGCCTGAATAGGTACGATGGACAAGCAAGACTCTCCAAATGCCCTCTTGAATGTCCAAGTGAACAGGGCAACTCATAACAATTCCTTCCACGCACCGAACATAGAAAAGAACCTTGCAAACGAACCCGTATGCACAAAAGCGCTCGAAACGGCCAAACATGGCCAAACGTTGTTTGACACTCTTCGGAGACACTCTTATGGCACACGCTTGTTAGGACACTCTTGTGGGACACTCGTGTAAAACACTCGGGGACACTCTTGGGACACTCTCCTGGGATGATCTTGCGGGAGACGCTTTTGTGACCAAGTTGGCACTGCGCCTTGTTAGACACCTCCAACCATACTGCTCACCTGTGGCGCACCCCGTTCACACACGCATGTTTCGCATTCCCAAATCGCACGGAACTATGCAAGCGCACTTGCCACTGAGGCCGCGTTTAGCGGCGGCACAGCGACATTGGACGATTTCGGACGTATAACGCGCCGTGCACCACAGACGGAATGCAACCATGTGACCTGATATGCCACCAATCGTCCTGCTGGCGCCACTGTTGGCTCCATAACCGCGTTAAGCGTTACGTAAAGGTACAAGACTCCAGAAGTCGCGCGTCAAGTCTCCGCAACGACCATGTCATACAAGATGTCCTCCACAAGTCAGGCGCTTCGTACGAAACTTCCTCCAAAAGTCACGCGTGAGCGTTTCAGGTTTCGTACGAGACTTCCTCTAAAAGTCACGCGTCAAGTCTCCAAAACGAGCAGTTCCAAGGAGACCTCCTCCAATAGTCACGTGTCACATATCACCGTTGCTCAGCGTACGTTTCGCACAGAACTTCCTCCGAAAGCGAAGCGGCCAGTCTCACCAGAGCTGCCCAGCCCTGCCAAGCAGTTTCGAATCCCAGCCCCTCAAACCCACAACCGCTGACACGCCAATCCCAATGGCACAGCGATATGAACGTCACAATCTCATGATTCCCTGCACCTGCCACGACAATTCAACTTCGACACCTCCAACAAGCACAAAGCACCGCGCCTGCAACGAAAAGTTGCGACCTCACATCTTCGTGCGTCTTCATTGTCTTCAGCAAAAATTGCGCCACGCCGCCACGCCGCAGGTTTGGAATCATTTCGACACGTTCTGAGCCCACTCACATCAACCAAACTCGCAATTTTTGATGAAACTCCTCACAAAACCACAAGACACAGCTTTGAAGCAACAGCCTGAAACTCAGAACACCTCCAAACGACCACACTGGCCAACGCCAATCCACATTATGTCGTCACCTCACAAAACCCTGCACCTGCGCAGGAAATCAAGATTCACACTTGAGCATGTCACATTGGCACGCCATTTCACACGAATCTGACACTTCAAGCACACTTCAAGCTTCCCTCCAAAAGCTTCCCCCAACGGCACAGTAGCCTTATCTTACTGATCACATTCCGTCACTCGCAGACGGTCGCAAACACGAAAGCAGCGTCAGGCGAACACCCCTCGATCACATTGCCTCAGACTCCCAGGCCGTTGAATGAGAACCCTTCGTTATACGCAGTAGGAAACAGAAGAGCCGCATATGAAGGGGTTTTACGTGGTTTAACAATGTCTTACAATCCAAATTGGGGGGGGTTGGTCTGGTAATCAAGTCCCATCCCAAACAACAAAAGCTTCCACAGCTGCGCGGCGATCCATTCTACGGCCTCAGGGGCAAGCCATGGGCAAGCCATGTGGCCAATCGAGTCTTTCCGCACCAGCCTTGCAGATTTTCACCACAGCTTCAGTGAATTATGACCACACGGTATGAGTGGATATGAGTGGTCCTTGCCAACACTTGCCAATGAATGGAACCCACCGTACACGCACAATCTACATGACCTTCTCACTGATCCACACTGCATGAAGACTTGAGCCAAAGACGCAGTCTTCATGGTTGGTCGCCCCCCATGGAACAAACGGGGGGCAATCTGTGACCCCTCACTGAGGGTGTCTGGGTGAAGCCACCCCAGGTGAGGATCGGCCTTCAAAGCGGTCCTTATCAATTATCTAGTGCAACATGTGCAACCGTTTGGTCTGAAAAAAAAGCCATGGCCATGAACCATGAACCTTCATGAACCCTTGAAGCAGGGCAGTGTAGGGAGTTCTTCTGGAACACCCGAGGGTGCGGTTGACGTGCCTGGGGTTTGGGGGGGCCCACTTCGCTGGGCCCCCTTTTTCGGAGTGCCCCGCTGGGGTTCCTCCCGGACAACGCCGAGCGGAGTGACTTTTCTTGCAAAATGACACGCCCGGCCTGGCAGGTAATCAGAGGTGGGAGGCATCCAAGTGACGGTGCTCAATTGGTGGGTGCGGGAGTGTCCTTACATGTCCTTCTCAAAACATCTCAAAACAGGAGCACAAGCTTTACACATTCTCATGCCCACTCCTAGGAATCAATTCAAAGAACTTGACCTTGGACTCTCTCTCTCTCTCTCTGGTGCAGTTCCCCATTTATCAGAACCAAAGTTACAGTTGATGATTTTGTTTGTTTGGAAAAATTAAAAAAAAAACGAGTTTCCTTTTGATTTCCGCGGCCCTGGCAAGAACAAAGCCACAAAAACAATTCTGTCTCATTTTCTTGTTGCCTTTCTGAGGGCAATTCCTGGACCAAGCTTCCTGGAATTTGGGTGAGCTACTGGGTGAGCTCTCCAGGTAGATGTTGACAAATCACGATCCCAAACATGTCCCATATATTATTGCATATATGTATATGCTTATGTTTTTTGTTTAAGGGGTGAGTTCTTGTTCACAGGTACTGTCTCGGGCCTTGCCAAACACAAAATTGCTTGCAAATGCCGGATGCTTTCCCGCAGTGCAAGTGATGCCAAAACCACAATTCACAGCACGATCCGCATTTCAAGCTCCCGCTGCCTCAAACGATATCCACCTTTCTGTGCTGCTCTGGGAACTCTAAACATCATTGGAAGGTGGAAGGGCTTCAATGCAAAAGATGTTCAGACCCCAACAAATTCAGCAATTTGGAGGGGCACAAGCTCATCATCTGCTGCAGCAACCGAATCACCATATATGGCTATATAATAGTATATAATGAATTAAGATTCATTAAGAGTCTCTACAATCAGGGCTTCGCAGTACATGGCTGGAAGTTATTCGCTGTGGGGACTACCAAAATCAGCAAGCAGAAGTTGTGCCTCAAGCGTTCACAACCCCAACAATCGGATTGGAGCTTTTCCAACTAACCGTTGGCCATTGTGGCCATCCTAGTTTTTGGAATCTCAGGTGACCCGCGTAAAAAGCTTCGGCAGTTCACCCCCAACAAAAGCCGTAGTACCAATGAACATGTGCTGATGTTACGCACACCCATGTCATGTTGCCCAAAGCTGGAATCGAATCTAACATCCTCCCTTTGGGGAGCAAGCAGCGGGAGCAGGAGCAGGCTCATTGACGTCAGTCATGAGTCATTAGACACAGTCGGCAGAAGAGCATCAACCTCTGAATGCTCATGCTACAGCATTTGGAATTTAGATCCAAACATGTCAGCTCTCTCTGCCAAATATGATGCCACAGGGCCGGTCGAGACGGATGGAACAAAAGGCCCGTTCCACCTTAAAAAGATATCAGACTGCAGCAAAAATTTGAGAAGGATTTCTGAAGTGTGGTGGCTCAAAGTTCTTGTGTCCCTAAAAACGCGATCTCTCGAACCACCTGGTTGTGATGTGTGTATGCTGTGCAGGGCATTTGCCCACTAAGACTTGGCATTAAGGCTTTGGCATGGAAGGATGGTCAAATGTCGCCAGGTCCCCTCTTTTTGTCACCCCCGAGAAAAACAAAAAAACCATACAAAAACAATCAAAAACAAAAACATCTGGTTCGGCTGCTCTGCCCCGAAAAAACCGTGCATGAAGAGTTGATCTCAGCTTCCTGAGTTAAGGTGCTTGCTGTTGAACATGATTGATGTCCAGCCTGAGCCGAACTCCTGGACTTGGTCCCGTTGTCCCGTTGTGTTCTTCCTGAAAGGCGTTATATCAAGGAGCGCCCAGGCCGTCCCAGATCCAAAATGATCCAAAAGGAGCCTTCAAAATCAACGGGTCGAAGACGGTGTTTTCTCATCTTAGCACCTCA